GTGGGTGCGGCCAATGGTAGCCCAGGCCCTCTGCAGCTCAATATGGTTGGACAGGGAATGGGCTAGCTCCAGGTAGCGGTGCTGGTGCTAGGGTGCAGAGGAATGGCTGCTGTGAGCCAAACCCCACTTCAAGCAAACCTTCCATGTCCCCCAACTCCAGGGCGTCCCTACTCTTGCCCAGGAGAGCCCCCTGCTCCTCAAACCACCCCCCAGAGCAGGCCAAAGCCAAACTACGCACACCCCATCTCCTCTATGCCAAGGGCTGCCTGTGGGGACAGTAGCTCCACACTCCAGCCAGCTAGTGTCATCATAGAGGAGGGACAATGGGTAGGAGTTAGCTCGGCTGCTGCAGGGCAGGCTCTGTGTGGACAGTGGGTCCCGACCCCCCAAGCCGGCCCACAAACGCAGCTCAAATAATACATTTGGTAATGGTTTCTGGGGCCAGGCTCCTAGGAGAGGCTGTGTGTGTCCACTTAAGGACTGACCTACCATTCCCTGGCACGAGGCTCTCTGAAAGTGAGGTTGCCTTGCAGGGTGTCCCCATGTGGCCAGAGGCCCGGACAGTGGACACTGTGCCTCCCTTCTCAGAAAGAGACCCCCACAAAGTGCGGCCCACAAAAGCGGGGTGTGGCCAGAGTGGGTGCTGGCGGGGCACCGCCCACCTGCAGGGCAGCTGAGTAGTCCTCCATCTCCGCCAGCCGCTCTCCGATCTTGCGGTGGGCCACGGCGCAGCCCAGGGGGTCGTCGGCGCTCTCCAGGAGCTGCAGCTCCTGCTGATGCTCCCGCAGGGCCTCCGCGTAGCGGCCTGGGCGGGCGGGCGGGCAGGGCAGTCTGCCAGGGGCCGCGAGGGCAAGCGGGGCGGCGGCCGGCCCTGGGTGGCGCGCTCAGCAAGGCTCCCAGTCCCCTGTCCCTTCCGGCCCCACAGCCCCCACGGCCCTCCCGGCTGCCCCCCTCGCTCTCCCGGCCCCCCCAGCCCCGGACCCCACCCCGGGCCCGGCGCGGAGCACGCACCATGGCTGGCCAGGAGCTCCCCCAGCTGGTGGCAGAGGGCGGCCTCCTCCCGTAGTTGCCCGCTCCTCTGGGCCTTGGCCTTGGCCTTGCTCAGCTCTACAAAGAGAGGAACGAGGCCGAGAGGCTGAGCCCCTCTACCTAGGGGGCCAGGCCCGCTCCCGGCCCCCGCGCTGGGCCGGGGAACTCACGGCGAAGCTCGCGGTCCAGGCTCATACTCCATCCGCCGCACACGAGGATCCAGACTTCCCGCGCTCCCGCGCCACCACTGCGGCTCCGCTCCAGGCCCCGCCCCCAGTGCCCGCGCGCAGGCCCAGTCTCGCCCCCGCGGGCCGCGGAGCATCCCGGGAAGTGTAGTCCATCCGCCCGAAGCATCCTGGGAGCTGTAGTTTGGCTGGCGCCCGCCTCCCCGGACTCCCGGGGCGGCCCAGGGAGCTGAACCGCCCCCCACCCCGGCCCCTCAGCCGCCCTGGGGGAGGTCTCCTGGGCTCTAGCCCCGTGCTGCTGCTGACACCCCCTCCCCTCAAGAAACCTACCTGCACGTGCGACTTTACCTGCGGAACGCGCTGCCCTCGTGTAAGAGGAGGCGGCACCAGCTGCCCCCTCCCACGGAACCGCGGAACCCGCGAGTCCGGCAGCCGGCACCTCTGGGACTCGAGGCCGGTGCTGCTGGCGGAGGGGCCGGATCCAGGCCCGGGGTCCCGTAGCGCAGACCGCTCACCTGCGGGGCCTGGCGGACGTCGCGCACCCCGGCCCCACGTAAGGGCCGCGCACAGCACGCCCCGCCAGGCCTGGGAGCCAGGCACTGGCCGCGTTCAAAGGCCCCAGAGGAGGCTGGAAGCCCTGGGAGATGGACGCATTTGTTTTCTGTGGAAATGGAAACAGACCAGTGGGGTAAACTCAGCCAGTGGATGCACAGCCAGGCTGTTGGGGAGGGAGTGACGTGGGGGCGGATGGGTCCATGGGTCCATGGGTCCATGGGTCCAGGGAAGGCTGCCCAGGGCCAGTGCCCGGCCACAGGGGTCGGGGCAAGGCCGAACCCGAGAAGCTGCAGGAGGTGGGAAGTTGGACCCGGGTGGCCGTCCTCTTCTCTTGGAGGGTGAGGTGCTCTGCCTGGCCCCTAGTCAGGGGTGTGGGGCGCAGGACGCAGGACAGGGAGGCCCTGAAGCCAAGGCGGCTGCTTGGCGGTAAGGTGTGCGGGGCACAGCGAGGGGCGACGGTGGAGGCGGGGTGGGGGAGCAAGGCCAGGGATGCAGAGACTGGCTCAGCTGAACGGCGGAGGAAGCCTCCCCAGCTGACCTGGCTCGCCCTCCAGCGCCAGCATTCACAGGACAGCCCAGGTCCTGGGGGCCGTATTCCCCTTGAGAGCACCCAACTTCTGTATGCCTCAGTTTCCCCACTGATCAGACAGGGATGTGTATATGAGGTGATGCTGAGCAGGGGCTGGAGGGTGGGGAGGCCACAGGCTGGGGGCCAGCGGGGGCAGCAGCTGACCCCTGGCTGGGCAGCTAGCAGAACCCAGGAAAGCCCATCCGTGAGGCTGTCTTCTCATAAGGAAACACAGACAAAACATGGTTTGGAACTTTTTTTAAACTGTAGTTACACACAGAAAATATCCAAAGAGAACGCAGACCACAAAAGTGACGTGTGAGTCATTTCTGACAGTGGTAAAAACACCTCTTGCTCCGCTCTTTAAAAAATTATTTTTATTATTTTTGTAAATGTCTCATTTTGGGTGATCTGAGAGATGTAATGCTCACAGGGGAATGGGGGTGAGGAAGGAGGAGAGGGGACCCGGCTTGGCTTGTGCCCCAAGCCTCCCCCCACATCTGCTGAGGGTGCACCCCCACCTCCTCCAGGTCAGGATGCCAAGATGGCATGGGGTCCTGGAGACAGACCACTGGTGTCTTCTCCTTTCTAACAACACTGATGGGACATCCCCCAGTGAATCAGTGACCTGCAGTGAGATGCCGCAGAGAGGTTTGTGGCACCAGCCCCCAGTTGCGGCCGAGACGCACTACAATCTCCCAGGGTGCCTGGCTCCACCAGGCTGCAAGGCTCAGCTGCTGAGGTGACGGTTACAGGGCAGGGCTGTGCTGGGGATGGCGATGCTGGGATGTATTAGCAGTCCTTTCAGGCACCCCTACACACCCACACTCCTAGAGAGAGGGCCTCGCCTGGTTGCCACCCAGCTCCAACACACACCCTTGGGCTGCCGGAAGTACTGACCCTGGTGCCCCAGAGCCCAGCCCCTCGTGCCCCCTACCCCACACATGCAAGGCTGCTAGCCCCAGGACTGAGGAGGCAGAGCCAAGGGGCCTCAGCCAGCCCTGGCTTCTCCCTTCTTGTGGCGCCCTGCCCAACCCGCTTTGGGAACCACATAGCTTCATCTACACACAGAAATCTGCTGCCTCCCACCCTGCCCCATCCCAGGAGAGCCGCCAGGGGCCCACCCTTCTGCTGACTCAATCCCTCACACAGGTACCCAAACGCACACAGACTGGGCAAGCCAGCCCCGCCGCGGCTCCCCTCACAACACGGTCACTTTGAAATTAAGAAACTCTACAGAGAAGGTGTTGATCCCCGAGAGACACCAAGATGCAGTGACATGTGCCATCCTCTACACACGAGACCTGATATGTGTGTACCTGAATGTCATCCTCTGTGCCCATCAGCTGGGGGCAGCCCTGAGGGCAGTGGGACTCACGCCACACTGTCTCTAGGTCAGAGATCGCTGCCCCCAAGGATGTGCTGGGCGCTGGGGTGGAGTCTTCCTCTGTAGAGAGCAGAAAACTAAGCATAGCGCCTCCTGGTCCCCTCAGTGGCCAGGCAGAGTCAGCCTTGCAGAAGGGAATACCCTGCGAGCCCCATGCCCTGGGCTGGAAACAGAAAGCCAAATAGGCTTCTCAGAAGAACCTGGGGAGCTGCCCTGGGGGAGAACTGACTCGGAGGGCCGCCTTGGCCACTAGGAACTAGGGTGAGGCTCCTGTTCTATCCTACAGCTCCTTCCCCTCATTTCTCAGCCCCTGACTTGAGGGCCAAAAGAAGCCCCCAGAGACAGGCCAGGCCCGCAGCTCTCTTCTTGCTGCCAGGGCTGCCCTACCTGCTGAGCCTGCAGGGCCCAGGCACTGGAGAGGCCAGGCTGGCAGTGGGCAGGTGGTGGGGGCTGCTGCTCTGAGGCATGGGGTGGGCCTGGACAGGGGCAAAGGAAACGGTTCTTTGGTATTGAAGCAATGAAAAGCTATTGCAGAAGAGTCACGTCTCCTAAGTAAGGGGAGTGGTGGCTAAGCTCTCCCCTTCCCAGAAGTTCCAAGGGTCCTGGGCTCCTCCAGGCAAGGCTCCTTCCCACACTGTGAGGCCCACACACCAGGCCTGCTCACTGCAGTCCTGGGGCTGGGGCTGCAAAGTCAAGGCTGGGAAGAGCCCACCTCCTTCAGGTGAGAAACCAGGCTGCCCAAGCACTGACCTCTGGAGCAGACCTCAGGACGCAGGGCCAGCAGCCGGTCCCTGAGAACAGCAAAGGGTGGCCGGCCCACCTGGACCCTCACCCAGCCAGGCTCATTCACCACCAGCGGCCCCCAGAGCTTCCCTCACAGCCTGGGGACGCTGTGCTCTCCAGGCTCAATACAGAACATAGATTCTCTCTCGCTAAATGTGTATACCTTACAGAAGAGCCTGTAAAGAGTTTAATTTTTTTCCTGGGAAGAAACAGAATTTCACCCTGCATTCCGAAACATCTGCTGAGCCCTGGTGGCCAAGTCCTGCCTCCCTGGAGTGGCTGGGGGGGTGGTGCGCTGGGGCTGCTGCGAGACCCCTGACCCTTACCACCCCCCAGACCTGGCCTGGGACGGAGGGGGCAGCATCTCCGAGTCTCTCCTGGGGGCACATGGAGGTGCAGTAACAGGGATGGGTAGGCTCTGACCCACAGGCCAAACCAAAGCTCCCAGGCTGTCCACTCACAGCCGCGCCTTCCCCTCCAACAAGACAGAAAATAGCAAACAAGGTGCCTTTTTAATTGCAATCAAATATGCCGTCTGAAGTCAGCTCGCCTGAGCCCGGCCCAGAGCAGGCAGTGCACCTCGCTGTGCTGGGGCTCCCTGAGCCGCCGTCTCCTCTGCAAGTGGCCCAGTCTCGGTGCCAGGAGAGGGGAGGCGGGGCAGAGGGCCGGGCGGAGGGCCGGGCGGAGGGCGAGGCAGAGCGCTCACACCATCGCACACACATGCAGACTTTCCCAACATTCACTTCTGTTCCTTCCTCCTTCACTAAAATGGTCAGAGAGCACAGTGAAGCCACTGGCGGGTGGGTGTGGGCAGCACGGCGCGCCGCCTACTTCTGTATCTGGAACAGGAAGAGCCGCAGGTTGATGTTCTTGGCGGCCAGCAGCTTGTTGCACTCCACGGAGTCGACGATGGGCAGTGGCACATAGTCCGTCTCGTTGCTCTCGTTGGTGAAGACGAAGTGATAGATGACGGGGCTGATCTTCACGTCGTCGTAAGGGCCCTTGAGCAGCAGGAAGGAGCACTCCAAGGGTGCCGTGACCTTGCTCTTGAGGAGGAGCTGGAAGGAGAGCGTGCGCTTGCAGGACAGGTTGGGGTTGCGCTCCGAGTCGTTCACGCGCGCCTTCAGGACCCACGTCTGGTTCAGCACCGTGAACCGCGGCGTCTCGTAGTACAGGCGCGTGATGAAGTCATCGGTGCGGTACGGCCGGAACTGGACCTCTGTGGAGACAGACAGGCCGGGAAGACCCGGCAGTCAGCGTGGGCAGGGCCAGGTGGCGGCGCCTTCCCGACCGGCCGGCCGAGGACACAGGCTCAGCCAGGGAGGAAGGCAACTTACCAGGACACAGCGTGCTCTACTTGTCACAACGCAAATCAAACGCAATTATGGCAAATGGAGGCGCACACAAGCTTTGGGGAAACAACTATAAACAGAAGTAACACGCGTTAGCTGTGAGGAGCCCAGAGGCTGCGGGAAGTGAGCAGCCAGCCCCAACCCCCACTGGCCTCCCTCCTCACCCTCCCCCAGGGCCCGTTCGGCAGAGGGAGAGGCCCCGCCCCAGGGGCGTGGGTAAGCAGACACACAGACAGGATGCAGTTCTGAGAACAAGTGCACTTTATTGTTTCCCATACAGAGCTGCCAGAAAAGCCGGCGGGCAGGCTGGCTCATGGCACTGGAGCCTACATTGGGCCGCAAGGCAGAGCGCCGGCGTGTGGCCCAGTGCTGGGCTCTGCTGGCCATCTGCCGGGCGGGTCAGTCAATGGGTGACTCTGCCGTCACAAAGTCCTCCCAGTGGCCCGTGGCTGGCAAGTCCCTCCATGAAGGTGGCCAGTCCTTCCTGAGTGGACAGGGCTCTCTGCCCACCACCGCTGCAGTCACAACACTTTGGCCTGCCTGGACCCTTGAAGCCTGACCTGGACTGTTTGTGCCATGGCACCCACCAGGGCGGCTGAAGCTGCAATTAACCGGGGGCCATGGCCTTCTGCTGCCGAGGCCCCTGGGCCCTCAGCCGCTCAGGCCTGAGCAGGCCCACACCCAGTCAGGCCCAGTCCAGGCAGCACGGTGTGACTGGCTGCCCATCACCGCCCTTGACGCACTGAGCCGGCCGCCTGGCGTGGGCTGGGCAGTAGAGGGCTGGAGTCTCCCTGAGTGGCCCCAGCATCAGCAGGTGCTTCTGGCTGTTCTCTGTGTCTGGACCAGGCTCTGGCCTGGCTCCTGCTCCCCAGCATGTCCAAAGGCAGTGGCAGTGGCCCGGAGAGCCCAAGAGATCCAGTGGGCCTGGGCGTGGTCCAGCCTGCCCAGCCCTGGGTGTCCACTCTCAGCTCTGCATTCTGAGCTGGGCACCCTCGACTCGTTCTGGAGCCCTGGCCCTGAGCATCTTCTTGCTGGCCTCAGGAGGCCCGTAGCCACTGCAGTGACCTCCCGCAGGTAGGACCCGATGTGACAAGTGCTCTTCTTGCCCCTGGCTCTGCAGGGCAGGCCCCCAGCTCCTGGGGTCCCCCAGACACACTCACTTTCTGGTTAGACCCCAACTTTCCCAGGGCTGTGCAGCCCCATGCAGTGAGGACACTGCTGGCTGGTGGGGCAGGGCTGGGGTGGGGAGGAGGGATGGAAGGGGCCTCTGTGAGAGCCATGCAGGTGTCTCCGGGGTCCTGCCCCAGCCACTCCCCTGCTTGGCCTCCGGCCTGTCTTCTCCCCCGAGGTATCCTCCCGTTCCCAGGAGCTTGTCCAGAGCCCAGCAGTCCGGCGCGACCTGTGCCCACTGCCCAGAGCCTGTTGATTTCCCGGTCCCCTAGCCGTGCGGCGTGCAGTGGGCGGTGTGTGGTGGGTGGGGCCTCACCTGTGTAGCCGATCTTCTCGAAGCTGAGCAGGCTGAAGACGCTGTTGTAGAGCTGCATCTCCCTGCGATGGCTCTGGTCCATCTCATCCAGGATCTCCATCAGCTCGTTGCCTGTCTTGGTTGGGTGGGCACATGCGGCCTCATGCACCGTCAGCTCGTGGAAGGGGCCATGCCAGGGGCAGCCGATGCGCTTGTACTTGCACTGGGTCACCCTGAAGAGGAGGTGAGCACTGTGGTCATGGCCTGTGCCCTGGGGAGGTGGCTGTGCCCAGTGGTCCTCCAAAGATGGGCCTCCGCCCAGCCCTGCTCATACACGAACGACTCACTGAAGGACACATTCGCCGTGTGCCGGCCCCCAGGAAGGGGTCAGAGCATGTCTGAGAGCCAGAGAGAGGAAGAGCACATGCGAGATGTGAATGCACATGCCACCTACACTCACTGCTATGGGGACTTTCTCCTGCTTGGCAATAGTGGCTATTGATCATGGTCCTGGACCCTAAACAGCTTCACTCCAGACAAGGCTCAGTGGCCTGGCCCCACCACAGGTGGCAGTGTCGACCAGCCAGGGTTGGGTTGGGGTGCCAATGCGGCCTCACAGGGAGCTCCCAGAGCTCCTGAGCTGGCCATGCTCTCCTGGGCCCAGGGATGCCAAGGACAGCCTGGAAGAAGCCACCACACAGCCATAGAGAACCCTAGAGAGCCAGGATGATGTCCAGACACCCACTGGGTGCAGATCCAAGCCCCCTACCCTCTGTGGGGCCACCCCCCTCCAGGGCCTGGGCCCCGAGCAGCTTCACACTGGCTCAGTCCTACGAGGTTGTCGGTGGGCTGCGTGTGTGGAACCCGAGGCCTGGGCAACCAGGACCAGCCAGAGCATCCCACACACTGGGGCCTCGCCCACACCAGAGTGGCCTCCAGCTCAGCCAGGTGATTACCTGTCCTGGCACTCTTCTTTCTGATGCCTCTCCAGGAGGGAGCGGGGAAACTGGCGCAGGCAGAAGCCACACTCGGAGGGCAGCTCGCTCACGGCTTTCTCCACAGCCAGGTTGCGGCAGCAGAGGCTCTTACTGATCTCACAGCGACAGTTGGGGCACGTAGCCTGCTCCTCCTTCAGCCGGGCATCTGCTAGTAGGTGGATAAAACAGCCAGCGCACATCAAGTGACCGTTAGTACACTGCGAAGAAGGAAAGGGAGATGAAGCTCACAGACCTGTGGGACTTGCACACACGCTCATGCTGCCCGCCGCACCCTGCCCCGCCGGCTCCAGCTAGGGCCAGGCCGGCAGCCATCCTGAGGGACTCCAGCTGTAGGAGGGGCTGCCAGCGAGGAGAGGAGCAGGCATGCTGGTGTTTAGTAAACACAGAGGGCCACTACACAGGAGGGACAGGCCTTTATCCTGGAGCACTGCAAGGACACAGCCACCTGGGCCCCTGTGAAGACGTGGGTGTCTCAAGGGCGGCCCTCATCAGCTTGCAGAGGTTATGGCTCTTCACTGAGGCAGGCCCGCTGGTGACTGGCCTGGCCATACAGGGGCTTGGAGCCTGGCCTTTTCCCATCCCAGGGGCCAGGGATTCTCCCAAGAGTCCCTACTGGCCCTGTTTCGGGACGCCTACACACTGGCTCTCAGCCGAGCACAGCAGTGGTGCTTAGCTATCAGGTGTTAAGTGGAGCAGTAGATGCTTCTCCTCATGCCAATGCAGGTGTGCCCTCTCCCTGGCCTTCAGAAGGCCAGTTCAGGCTGGGGGCTGGGGACCTGGCTCAGATTGACCCCCAGCCCAGACCTTCCACTCCAGCCCTCCTTGGCCAGCACAGGTGAGAGGGCAGCTGCCACCCACCCAGTAGGGCTGGCTACCTGCAGGGGCCTTCCCAAGAGCTGGTGGCTCAAGGCTGTGGTAGGAGGGAGGCCAAGTTGGCTCGGGACACGGGTGCACGGGCACAGTGTGTGCCTGCGGGAGGGGAAAAGGGTACATGGGCACAGTGTGTGCCTGGGGGATGCGGGAACAGGGGCTGCATGCAGGACGTATTGCCGGGTTGGGTCAAGGGGACCCAGGCCCCCTCCCTTTCTGAACCCACAGATCTGAGACCTGGACACTGCCTTTCAGCAACCTGCCCTCTCGCTGGGGTCCTTGCACGTGTGTATAGCCGGCTGCCAGCTCAACGCCTATCTTGGGTCTCTTGCTGGCTCCACACACACCTCCTGAGCACCCACTTGGTACCATCAAGAGACATACAGGGTGGGCTGTGGGCTGGGCCCTCCAGGGACTCACAGTGTTGGGAGAAGAAAGGCTCACAAAGAAATCAGGAGGTACAACAGCTAAGACTGGGGCTGAGTGTCCTCCTGGGGCTGACACAGCTCCCCTCAGGCCTGGCCTGTGAGGCTGGTGCAGATGAGAAGGGGCAAGTGTGGTCTCACAGTGCCTGGGGAATGTTGAGGGCAGAGGTGTAAGGGCCTTGGGCTGAGCTTTGCACTGGGGGCCCATCAAGGGCTAGCTGGATTTCCATGTGGAAAGACTGCCCCACAGCCGGCTGAAGATGAACAGGCAGGCAGCGCTTTCAAAGGCCTCTCTAGCGGCTGGCCTCGGCTCGCCAGCCCTGGCAAACCTCCAGATAGCCAGTGGGCCACAGGCTTCCCTTGGGGTCCAGGAACCTTTTGAGAGGGAGATGCAGTGGGGCAGAGAGGCACTCTGGAGCCACTGCCTGGGCTCGCTCGCCAACGTGGAGTCCTCAGTAAATGCCAGCTGCCATCCCAGCGCTTCAGGGGTCTGTGCATCCTGAGCTGAGAAGCAGCAGGAGGCTGAGCGAGCTCTGAGCACCGAGGCCTGGGCCTGGGGTCTAGTGAGTGATGGGACCTACATGCTGAGGACTGACAGTGGGGGCAGGGGAGCCAGGACAAAAGCCTCATTCACAGAATCCATGTCCACACAAACACCAAAGATTATTTGCACTCAAATCCCAATTTCCAAGTCAGGTCAAAAATCAAATGTGCAAGATGAAGGAGAGCTGGCTGGGCTCAGACTAGAGGAACCGGGTCTGACAAGGGCCGGCCAGCACCAGTTCTGGGCACAAGGGCTGGCTGGGGGTGGGGAGTGAGGCTGGTCCCAGGAGCAGTCAGGACGAGGTGAGGCCTGCCCACAGGAGGAGCAGGGTGGACAAGAGGTCTGTCTTGTCCACCCCTAGGGGTCAGTGGAGAAGCCAGAGATGCAGTGAGTGGAGAGGAGGGCAGGGGGACACAGACGCCACTGGCCGCTGCCACCCCTTGAGAGGCACGGACCAGGGGCCAGGGTCACAACCCCTCTCACAGTCCCTGCCAAGGGCCTGACCCAACAGAGGCCCAGCTTTGCCACGCCACAGCCCCAGGGAGAGGATCGCTGCAGCTTCCAGATGCTGGGAGGGAAGCAGCACATGCTGACGTGACCACTTGTTCATGGGAGGAGGAAACCTCAGGGTGCCCCTTGGAAGTGAGGCCAAGAGTTGGGGCACCACGCTCCACGAAGCCCCAACGGCTGCCCAGCACCCCCAGTGAGGAAGCCCGGCAGGACACCAAGACCTTCCCAGGGCCTGGAGGATGCTAACACCAAGACTCCCCCCAGCTGGGGGCCCCACGCCTCTGTGTGGCCAGCTCTAGTGCAAGATGCCTCCTGGTGAGAGGCTGCCCGGGCAGGGCCCAGCCCTGCAGTCACCTCAGGGCCCCTCCCTGAGCAGAGTGGCCTGCTGGGCCCCACCCACCTGGTTTCTCTTCTGTCTCTGGGTGGCCCAGTCAGGGTGTGGACCTGAGAGTGAGACTGAGGATGGAGTCCTGGGACTCCTGAGGGACAATGAGGCTGCCAAGCGTGTAACCACTTACCTCCCAGCACCGCCCTGAGAGCTCACTGCTCTGGAGCAGAGAGCCTGCCTGTACACCCTCGTGGCAGGCCTCTCGTTAGAGCCTGGGGGCTGCAGCAACACCCGAGCTCCCCAACCAGCCCCTGCCCCCTTCCTCCCAGAGCCCCCAGACCCAACACAGGCTCAGATGATACGGCACCACAGGGAGGCAGTGCTGACCCTGCCCTCCTCTAGGCCTTCTGGGAGAGCCTGTAGGCTCTGGGGGAAGGTGGGGTCACTGTCCCTTCGACCCCAACAGCTCAGCTCTGAGTGGGAGCACGGCAAGCCAGCAAGATACTTCAGAGCACTGCTGGCCTGGCCAAGGACAAGCCCATGTCCACACGCAGCCAGCCCCTCACCAGCTACCCAAGGGATGCTCTCTGGGTGGATACCAGGTGGCTGGCCCGGGCCCAGCCAACACCCAGCCCAGGTGGTCTGTCCATAGCAGGTCTGTCCACACCATGCTCCAGAGCCCTCCCCACCATCCAGGCCCCTCTTGGCCTCCTGAGCAAGACCCCAACTCTGCACTCAGGCTTTGCCACAGGGCAGCACAGACTCGGCCTCCACAGTGGCCAGGCTGGACCACACCTGCCCCAATCTGCCCAGCCAGAAGCCAGGCCCCAGAGGACTCTGCACAGCGCCGGCTGCACGCCAAGCCTATAATGGACAGCACCAGCCAGGGCAGCTCAGAGTGCCCCACTCGATATGCTAGGGCCAAGCCGCCAAGAGCCTGGGTGCCCCAAGAAGCAGCTCCTGCAGCGCCCAGGCCAGGATGCCTTCCCGCCACCTGCCAGGAAGACCTTGATGGTAGGGAGGGGCAGGGAGAGAGGTCCCACAACCCAGGACAACGTAGGGCCTCCCAGACCCTCCCAGGACAGATGCTGGCTTAGAACCGGCCCACAGATCACCAGCAGCATAACCCTAGGCTGGTCACTTCCCTCTCTGGGCTTCGATTTCCTCAGGCACAAAAGGCAACCAGAAGAGGACTGGCCTCGTCACGTGCTGGGAGGCAGGATAGACAACACATACGGCAGCATGGCTTGGCCCCCAGCACACGGTGGGCACAAAACAAACACCCACGCCCGTGGTCATCATGCAGCAGAGGCCGGCCAGCCCCTCACACGGCCCCCACCTGCAGAGCCCTCAGAAGGGACTCCAGGCACAGGCCTATGATTTCAGCAAAAGCCCCTCCCTCGCCCCTGGGGGGCCTACCCCCAAGCCCCTCTGCAAATGGCCCAGAAGCAGGCATTTGTACCTGTCCCCCCAGGACACCACCCAGCAGCTCCTCCCTCTGCCTGGCCACAGGCAGCTCACATGCACCAGCTGCGTATGCCCGGGGCCTCCATCTGAGCCAGATTCTCCTCTGGGCTAAGGGGAAGCTGAATGGACCGTCCAGACTCATGAGAAAGAGCCCTGATCCCTGGCAAGCAGGTCTTAGAAAACGCCCCCTCATACACAACTTTTGAGAACCAAGCCCTTGGTGAGTAGGCCTTTTAGGCCCTCTTTTAAGCCTGGAGTGCATGGTCCTCCCAAACTCTGGGATCCCCCCATATCCACTCTTTCCCACCAGAGGAAGGCTCAGCACCCAGGCCCACGTGAGCAGCCCATCCTCCAAAGCACAGTTGAGGGTACCAACCCCAAAAGTGCTGCTCAGCCCAGCTGGAGGTCTGCCCTCCCCAGGACCAGCAGGGCCTCAGGGCACTCCATACCCCCATAAGCTCGGCACAAGGTCCCCTCAACCTCTCCAGTTACGGGGCCTCGAAGGGACTGCGCAATGTCCAAGTCACACGGCTGTTTCAGGTGAAGCCAGGACTCCAACCTTCCACCAGATTTCGGGTTTGAAGTCCTGGGCCAGCAGTTCCCAATGGCATGCCACCCTGAGAGCCAGGACTCGGGCGGGAAGCAGTCAATCCCGCAGAGTCAGGCTGTTACTCAGAACCTAAGTGCTGCCTGGATCGAAAGGTAACTCAGACGACAGATCACCACCACACAACACAACTTCTTATCTAGCCAGAGTCCAGAAGCTTTCTCCTCTCTGCCCTCGTTCTGGATGCCTAAGCAGACATATTTTCAGTCCTTTCTGCTACCTTTCTCACCTCAAACCACGAACTAGCCACAGTCTGGGAGCTGGGGAAAAGGAACCCAAGCTATGTGGGTGGGCAGCCCCACCAGGGGTTCCTTAAATATCACCTTGGACAGAGCCTGTGGCACTGGCCACGCTGACGGCCGCTGAAACGGTGTGCTTGGAGGCTCCCGAGACCTGTGCCCACACTGGCCAGGGCCCACCTAGAGATGGAGCCACCCCTGCTTCCT